TTAGTGGTCAATATATATATATATATATATATATATATAAACATAAATCCCCAAGAGGATAGAATCCAGGTAGAATTCGATATCCAGGACAAAGTATATAATATAAAAGGCTCAAACACTAATATTCCATGGTTATAATTTATTACATTGGAATCGTAATCACGGTCCAATTCATCAGACCTACAAATTCAAAAAATTTTTGAATTTGTAGGTCTGATGAATAATATATTATAACCATCCATGGAATATTAGTGTTTGAGTTTTTATATATATATATATATATATATATATATATATATATATATATATATATATATATATATATATATGGTAATTTAGGAAAAAGAAGGCTTTAGAATTTATTATTATCATTCCAAGAGTTGTTAAGAATATTCTCTAGAAAAAGATATCTTTGTATTTCCTTGTAGATTTCAGACATGAAGAAGGCCATAGATTGGATCAGCCAAAAGGTTGTGGTGACAATCAAAGAAATATAAATAATGAGTTTAATCATCTAAAAAAAGATTTTGCTTGATAATTTTAAGTAACTTTCATTATTATTTATGATAAAGTGACAAATTAATTATGTGAAATATTATTGCCTTTTGCTTTCAACAAATTCGATTCAAATGTTTATAATCTGTATTATCCTCTTTTAAACCCAAGCTTTAAGTTGATTTAATATTATTCCTTGCAGCCAATCCTTGTGGACTGAAACCTTGCAAGAATGGAGCTGAGTGTATAAATGATGGTAAAGAGTTTATCTGCAAATGTAAACCTGGATTTATGGGAAAAACTTGCATTGAAAGTGAGTCTGACTTTTATTATTTAAAATATCATGGAACTGATTCAGACTGAATATTTTCACAAATTATCTGTTATATTTACAGTCAACCATTGCGGACTTCATCCCTGTAAGAATGGTGCCAAATGTTTCAATGAAAAAGATACATTCAGATGTGAATGTACTGCTGACTTTATGGGAAGAACTTGTGTTGAACGTAAGTAAAAAAAAAAAAAAATCACTAAAACCATTTGTATATTTTCCTTTTTTAATTTCTGTGAGGCTTCTACTATAAAATCTGTAGAATGTAAAATTTCGTGCAATAAAAAATTTGTAAATTTTGTTGTTGCACTGAAAATAAACTTTAAATAATAGTTTTTTTAACCATAAACTATGCCACTGTCATATTTATTAAATCAGTACTGTAAAAATTGTATTACTTCTGTCTCATAATAACAGTTATATTTCTACTCTCATTTCATGCACTAAATGTACAAACTATTAATGGAACAGAAGTATATATTATTATTATTATTATTATTTATATAATATTACTTCTGTTCCGCAATAATTGTTACATTTACATACATATTCCCTAGAATAATATACCAATTGTTATGGGGCAGAGGTAATAAATTATTTATGTAATATTACCTCTGTCTTATAAAAAATGTTGCATTTACATGCACATTTCATAGAATTAATATACCATTTATTATAGGATAGAGATAATAAATTATTTATATATTAATCTGTCACATTATAATTGTTGTATTTGTGTCATGGTGAAACACACCTATTCTATAGTTAATAGACTCTCTCACCTAATATAAGGGTCAGTCGATGTCGGACGACAGTAGTCGACAGTGCGTCGAATACGAAAGTAGTCAGCAACCACAACAAGATTATTCTGCGTAATACCTATTATATCAAGTTCTTAACGTTTTGTACGTCGAACCTATTTTAGGACCGATTTAGTACAAATACAAGCCTCCACTGCGAAGGTAACTCTACAACAATTTGCATGCACATTTCATAGAATAAATACCGTAATTCCTCATGTATAATATACATTTGTTCTAAAAAATAATAAGCAAAATTAAGGGTGCGTATTATACACGGCTACAAATTTAAAAAAATTGCCGTTTCATAGGTCGATTTCAGTTGTGAAATGACTATTTACCGCAAACATACGACAATTTGACACTAACATTCGGTGATTGCGACACCCTAATGATGTCAAATACAATTATATGTACCTAACAATATTTACAAATATCATAAAACTAAATGAGAATAAGATTATTCTATGTTTAAAAACATTTTTAATAACAGTAGGAAACGCTAGACGTAATGAAATTAGAGAGGTACAATTTATGGGGTTTCATTACCAAACAAGGAATGGGTATTATGCGTGAATAGAAGTATTTTCCCACACTTTCAGCACAATTTTAGGGGTGCATATTATGAAGGCGTATTATACATAGGGAATTACAATATATTAGCTATTATTGCTCAAGGTTAATATTATGTATATAGTATTACCTTTGTCGCATAGTAGTTGTTACATTTCCATACATATTCCATGGAATAAATATATCAGCTATTATCGGACAGAGGTAATAAATTATTTATATAATATTACCTCTGTCCCATAATAATTGTTACATTTGCATGTACATTTCATGCACTAAATGTATCAACTATTATGGGACATAGATAAATTATTTAATACTATCTCTTTTCCGTAGAAATTGTTGCATTTACATACACATTTCATGCACTAAATGTATCAACAATTATGGGACAGAGATTGCTGATAATTAATATTTTCATAAACTGTGAAAGTGAGTTTTCATGAAATGACATGCCTCTCTACTAAGGTGAGCAAATTGCAAAGTCTTTTTTGAGGGACAGAAACAAGAATATCTAAGTGTGAGATTCTCAGAAGAGTGAGAAATAGAAAGATGATGAGAGTGTGAAAGTCAGTGAGAGAGAAAGAGAGAGAGAGAGAGAGAGAGAGAGAGAGAGGGATAGTGAAAGAAAGATATAAAAAAGGAAAAAGAAGAAAGCAGGGAAAAGAAAAAGGAAAAGGGAACAGAGAGAAGAATAGGGGAAAACAGGGTAAACGTAAGTGAAAGAGAGAGGGAGGGAAAGAAGAAAGACGTGGGAGAGATTGGAAAAGAGGAAGAGAGAGCTTACAGAATGAAAGTGGGAGATAGACGATAAAGAGGGAGAGGATAGATTAGTGGAAGAAATAAAAATGGGAGGAAAGAGATGGGAAGATAGGAAGAGAGAAAGGTGGAAGAAAAATGGAGAGAATGAAAAGAAGGAAGGATAGGGAAAGATGAAGAAGGAAGTGAGAGAAATGAAAGCGAGATAAAGAGAGAGATACATAGAGGGAGAGAGAGTGACAAAGTGATGGACCGGTTTGAATATATTGTTTAAGTACATCTATATTCCAGTAATCCTTTTTTTTTTAAACTAATGCTCACTGAATAAGAGGCTCGATAGCCATATAAGATAGAGGGTTAGTGAATGAGATGTGCAATATGAACTTAAGAGGAACTAAGAAATGAAGATTATGAGGATACGGGGGATAGATAACGACTGGCCACATATATATATATATATATATATGGCAATTTGGAAAACGAAGCCAATAAAATACAAGTTGTCATTCCAAGGGTTGTTCAGACTATTTTCTAGAAAAAGAAAGCTTTGTCTTTCCTTCTAGATTACAGACATGAAGAAGATTATGAATTGGACCATCCAAAAGGTTGTGGGGACAATCAAAGAAATATAAATAATGAGTTTAAGCATCGGAAAAAAAAATTATGATTTTGTGAAAGGAAGCGACTGGAAAGCATGGAGCTGGGAAAAATTCCATAAGCAAGAAGTGCAAGAGAAGAAACTGTTAGCATAGAACTTGAGTTGCCCCATTTTTATTTTTATTTTAAACAGTATGTATTATTTGTATTGAGCTGCATATTCATGAAATTTGAATAAAACAACTGAACCAGTATCACCCTTTGACGAGGAGTAACTTGAAAGTGTTTGAAAGAAGGAAAAGAAGAAAATAGTTTGACGAGTGAAAACAACAATAAAGGAGAATATTATGAAGAAAAGAGGGAAAGACAGAGAGAAAAGAAGGAAAGATGAAAGGAGGGATAGGATTAGGAGGGAAAGGTGTAAGAAGGAAAGGGAAAGCAAGAAGAAAATAGAGAGAAGGGATAAGGGAAGAAAAAAAGAAGGAAAGAAAGTGAGAAGTCAAAATAGGAAGAGAGAGAAGAAAGAAAAGAGAAACAAAGAGAGAGGGATAGGAAAGAAAGTAAACATGGAGAGATGGACAAGAGAGAGAAGCAAATGAGCAGTAAACACATAGAGAGTTGGAGTTGTTTAAATGTGTTGTCACGTGTCAAGTTCATCTTGGGTATGACAATAAACTACATCCGGCAGCAAGGCCGATCGGGGGTTTAGAGGTTTTGTGGAGCGTAGAACCACCTTTTAATTCCTGTTGTTTCTAAGTACACACTGACTCAGGATAGTAGCACTTGTTAGGGTACTAGTTATGGGCAAATAGTGGACTCCCAAACAAAACCAACAGAACATTTTTATAGTAATATTACCAACAATACATTTTATGATCTACGAAATATGTATTTAAAAAACATACATATATTCTGAAATTATTAATTTAAGTACAAAATATCTGTAGTTGAAAGCATAAAATTTCGTAAAAGATATTTAGATTTCGGCTTAAAATAATCCATAGAGGTTGATATTTGGCTAAACAGAACTCTTTCATGACATGAAGCCATATAATATCCGACAATTTCTTAAATCAAACTGTATTCCAGAATAAAACTTCAAGAAATCTACAACATAAAACACACATATCACCGCTTGTAGTAATTATGTCCACACAAACATGTATATGCACAAAAGCTGAGTATCATCTACCATGTATTCAATTGTGAAATCAGAATAACGTATATTTTTATTACTTCAAAGCTCACAAGAAAATTAAATGTTGGCGTTAAATGACCAATAAGGAGTTGATATGCCATTAAAAAAACAAGAAATTAATTTTATAAACTAAACTGTGGTTATCTCTACATTTGTAGCAAATCCCTGTGGACTTAATCCTTGCAAAAATGGTGCTGAATGTGTCAATGAAGGAGAAAGATTCAAATGCATCTGTACAGCTCTTTTCATGGGTCCGACTTGCATTGAACGTAAGTATAAGAATTTAAGCTTAACATATTTTGAGTGACATAAAAATCATTGTTCCGCAGAAGCCAATGAATATTTGTATTCTACCATATTTTGTCATAAAGATGGCACAATAGTGACTTTTGAGGAAAACTGATTAGGTTCTTGGTTGGACAACTTCTTCTTTAAGTACCATATTTCTTCAAGACATGTTGGATCGATTATCTTATCCCAGACAGGTGATTGCTGGTTGATTTTGTTCGGAGATAAAAAAAAAAAAAAAAAACAAACAAAAAAAAACAAACTTCAACACAAGTAATTTTAACTTAGCTAGTTTATTAACGTCGGCGTATATATCAAAATACCCAGTGGGGTTGCTCTCCTAACTGGGAAGCCGTTTCAGATACGCTAGAAACACGTCTACATTGATTGACTATTTTAAATCGACTCCACAAAAACGCCTTCTGTATCTATTATTATTCACACGCTCTTCTCCAACTATCTATGTAAACAATATGAAAACTGATTGGGTTCTTGGTTGGATGTATGTAGCATGTCCCTTCAAGACATGTGCGATCGATCATCTTATCCCTGGTAGCTCTTAGTAACGTTCGTCTTTTTGCTATTCCTCCAACCACCCGTTCTGCCATCCATTCACATAGCCCCTGCCATGTCCTCCTCATTTTGCCTTTAATATATCCTGTGGGTGACAAATTCTCCAAGCTCCTCGTTATGTATTCAATGAATTTCTACTGTCTGTTTCTGAGTCTAAGTGTTGTATACTCTCCCTCATGCCGGGAGGTCTTGGTCATTGCGCTAATTAATACAATGCATTTTCTATCTTTCGTCTTCTTCAAACAGGTGATTGCTAGTTGATTTGGTTCGGAGATAAAAAAAAACAAACTTCAACACAGGGAATTTTAACTTAGCTAGTTTATTAACGTCGGCGTATATATCTAAATATCAGTGGGGTTAGTCTCCCCAACTATTTAAACTCGACTCCCCAAAAAAACCTTTTCTCTGTATCTATCATTCTCACGCTGGCTTAGCCAATCAAAATCGACTTTCTTGTTTTTTCTTACGTTTGACATGAAAAGTCAATCGCAGCACGTCGGAGCAGAGATACACTTCTCTAAAGAAAATAATAGTCTGCTAAACTATTATTTAGTATAAGTTTCTTTTTTGTTCTCATTTTCCTTCAAACTTTGTTACCTATGAATCCTATCTATGATATTCTCAGCCTCCTCCTATAGAACCACACTTCTGTTACCACTAGTCTTTTGTGAAAGAAAATGTCCGACATTCACTGCTATGTAGGAGTACTGATATTATATAGCAATTTAACATTCTTTTCTGTTTCTAACAAAATTTTCCTATTTCTTAATACTTTGCTTAGCATTTGGAACGCATCTTTTGCTCTTTCAATGCGCGTTCGGATTCCGGTGTCACGTTATCTATTACTGTTGCATCTTTAACAGCAGATGCAGCCATACAGTAATCCCATAACTGGTTACAGCAGAATTCCCTGTTCTGGCACTAATTAAAAAAGTTATCCACTCGTAAAAAATTAAGAACATTTTTTCGGGGATTAATATTCATAGATAAGAATTTCTTAGACATTCCAAAAGTCACATTTGTCAGAATCAAAAAAATATCGATAAAAAGTTCACATAACTCTGTAAAAATATTCCTAACTTTTTACAGAGTTATGTGGACTTTTGTTTTTTATGTACAATTGTAAAGTTTGTAAGTAACGTCAGTACAATTCAAAGTCGACATTGCATGCCCTCTTTCCTAATTATTTGCCTTAGAAATTTCAATTGGCTCTTTCTGATTCTAATTGGAATTGTCTCTTTTTTTTTTGATTTTCCTTAAAATTTCGTCGTTGCTCACATCTTCAGCCTATCGTATTCACAGCATCCTTCTTTAGAACCACATTTATGTTGCATGAAGTCTCTTCTTCATTTACGAGAAGATTTTCCGGCGTTTATTGACATATACTAGGACTGCTATTACATAACAGTTCAACACTGTTTTCTTTCTGAAAAACTTTTCCTGTTTCTTAATACTTTGCTTAGCTTTTGAAAAGCATCTTTTGCTATCACAAGAAGCCTCTTCGGTTTTTCTTTTGTTTACAGTATTAAAATATATTTTTAAATGACTAAATTGAATGACCTTGTTTTGGACTAAACTCCCTGAAGATGGTGGCCTTGTTTGATTAACCTGAATTCATTCCCTTAATTTTTTTTCTTTGTGTATGTATCGTCTCTATTCTATTCTTGGGCAAGCATTGTCCCCCACCAAACTTTCTATATTTTGTAGCTCTACGTTTGCCTATTTACTATCACCCCCTTTTCCTGTTATCTATACATTTACATAAACGCCTTAGGTGAATTTAACCCGTTACTCCTTGTAACTCTTGACATCAGTATGTCCTGTAAGAGTTAGATGTTCTAAAACTTCTTTCCTCATTATGTGTCCTAGAAAGTTTTAATGGTCATTCTGATTGTAAGTGTTTTTTTTTTTAATTTCCGTTTTCCTTGAGACTTCCTCGTTTCTTACATGCACTGTCTAAGGAATTAATAGCATCCTTCTGTTCAACTATATCTGTTGCCTCAAGTCTCTACCTGTGAGAAAATTGATCACAATTCATTGCCATATAGGAGGAATGATATTACATTGCAGTCTACCACACGTTTTGATTCTAAAGACATTCCTCTCTTTTAATACTCTGTTCTGAGATTTAGAATGGTACATTTTGTTATTCCAATGCACCTTATTTTTTTTAAATATTTTAATATTTGATCAGATTTGGAGAAGTGCACTAAACCGAGAACTGTGTAGAAGACTTTATAACTTCTATATTTTCTACCGACATCTGATAAGGGCCATCTGATAATAATCTTCGATCAATCAAATGACTATTTAGAAAGTTTTGTAATTGTTAATGCCTATTAATTTATGTATAGTGAATAATACATAATAATAACTTTACTGACACAAGCTAACTTATTATTTTTGAATTCCATAATAATTTTACTGAAAAGAAAATTATTCGATCACATTACTCTCGAATAATCTATGTGATTAAATTTTTCTACACAGCCAATCCTTGTGGACTGCAACCATGCAAAAATGGCGCTGAGTGCTTTAATAAAGATGAACACTTTTTCTGCGAATGTAAACCTGGATTTAAAGGAAAAACCTGCGTCGAAAGTGAGTCCCCACTTTATTTATTTTCTTCCAGTTTCTGTTTTATTAGAAGTGTTATAACTCGTAAATTCTGTCACAATTTCAAAGGTTTTAACTTTTGGAGCAAAATGTTTCAAATCAGGTTTTATGGTTGTGAAGTGTGGAATTTATTTTCACTACCTGATTTAAAATAAAAAAAATACGCACATATAATTTATACCTTACTAAAAAGCCGCAAGAGCCTTTTGTATGGAACTACATAGGAACGTTCTGTATGTAGGGTAGAAGCGCGCATGCGCAAGAAATCCGCTTTTCAAGATGAAAAAGAGAAGTCATGTTTCAAAACATTTCGCTGATTATATAAGAACTGTTTTTTAGTTTTCAAACACCTAGATGAATATTTCATTTGAAAAACAAATTATTCTCCACAAAGAATACAAACAAATTCAGATTAGTTCTGTGCATTTATAATTTTGAACTTTAAATATTTAAGTGTGTTTCGGACGAAAATTCGACGTCTTTCCATCAAGGAATTGTATTGAAATGCTCACTATTTGAAAATTTTATTTTTTTAAACTGTTAGGTTAGAAAGAAAGTCGTATTTGAAGATGAAAAAGATGTAAATGCTTCTTTGATCTTAATCGATATATTCAATTCTGGTAATATTTCTTCTCATTATCGATTAGATAATCCCATCTCTTTGAAAATTTGGAAATCCCTCGGGTATAAAATACTACAGGTTTCCATGCAAACAAACACTCAATGTCAGTTTTAACTTGTTTACAATAAACCAAATGTTTTCCCTCTAAAAATGTTTTCAAACGAAAAAGATAATTGTCAGATGGAGCGATGTCAGGAGAGTAAGGAGGATGTGAAAAAAAAAAAAATTAAGCGTCGTAGTCTTTTCCTGAGTGAATCGGCAATATGTTATCACGCATTATCGTTTAAGAGCATTGCAACTAACCAATGATAAGCGCATTTGCTGCAAATTTGTCTGCTATGCTTCCAACTGAACACAGTACTTAACAGCATCATTTCATTTTGGGTTAAGATTCCATTACAAACAACGAAACATTATGCATAAATTTATCGGGTTTAGTCCTAGTTCGGGGATAGGTACTACATGTTAGGTGGGTGCTAACCATTGTCATATTCGGTGGATATAATTATAGAGTACAATTTTTTATCAATGGTGACGATTCTATCCGTGTTTGATAGCAGATCTACTTTTCAATGACGAACAGAGGACAACTCTTTGATTAAAGAGAGAATCAGTCAGATGATGAGAGGCCTCTTGACCATGTTTAAACATTCTTCGAGTTCATCAAGCTGTCTTATGGTCGAAGTGTGACTTTTATTGAATTGTGTCGTTAATTCTGGCGCATTTTACTAAGGATTGTCCTCGTTTGCAGAAGCCAAATATTGATAGAAATCGGTCGTTCAGATCAAGATTTATTTTTCTATAATCATTTCACCCCAAGCAATGCAATATAGCGCATAAGACACAAATGTTTACTGAGTGTTAGAGAATATAAGAAAAAGGAACATTATTAACGAGAGAGAACGATACAAGAGCAAGAATTAAGAAGTTAGAAGATAATGATTGACATTGTATTTGATTATTTAAAGATCAATTTTGACTGAAAATCTAGAAGCCGGAAGAGAGTTCCATAAACGAGAAGAAACTGTTAGTATAGAATTTACAGTTGCATCTAGTCATTTCAACTGTAAAATGATGAGACCTTATCGTAAAGCTAGTATTTTAATTGAATTCGTAAATCTGGATACCAAAGAAGAAAGTTGATAAGTATTTGTAGAATAGCAAACCGTGTGCAAACGGATAGAAAAATAAAGTTTTAGGGAACATGAAAACAAAAAAGAAACTGAAACATAGAAGTAGAAAGAGACAGTCGACATTTCTAAGCCGCATAATAGAGAAAGAGGGTTTGGAAAATTTGATATTCGCAGGACATATTGGCGGTAAGCAGAACAGAGAAAAGCAGTGAGTAACCTACCTAACGAGTAAGTGGTTGATAGAAAGGATTAGGAAAGATAACGAAAAGATAAAAAAAAAGATACAAAGGACAGGAAGAGCCATAATGACCTACGTCCTGGAGGGACATGGCACATAAAAGAAGATATTCTTAATTATTTTGTCCTATAGAGGAAAGAGGGCTTGGTAAATTTGACACTGACTAGGTATATTAAGGACAAGAGAGAAACAGCGAGTAAACATACCTAACGAGCTTTTCTAAATGGGTGCAAAATTAATTTAAACTCGGAATTAATTTCAACTCAGAACTAATTTCAACACAGAATTAATTTCAACTCGGAACTAATTTACTTAACCATTTACTTGGTCACAACAATATATATATATATATATATATATATATATATATATATATATATATATATATGATTTTTATTAATTGTTACGTTTATTATTTTTCCTGGTTTTCTCGTAACGGGGAGTTGTGTTCACATATTGTCCTTCCAGTCGCCTTAAGACGATTTATAATTAATTCATGTCTGTAATATATATTATTATTTTTGTCTTCTTCCAGTCAATGCCTGTGGACTTGAACCCTGCAAGAATGGAGCTAAATGTTTCGATGACAAAGACACTTATAAATGTGTATGCGCCCCTGGTTTTATGGGAAGAAATTGTGTTGAACGTAAGAAGTTTCCTTCGAATTATCATCTTTCTTAATGAATGAAATTTAGTTGAAATGTAAAAAAATAATGCTGTCAAGTTCTGTTCAACTGTTTTCAGTAATTTATCTCGGTTTTGGAATCAACAAATTGCAAACGATATCTGTGATTTCAATAATACTAGAATATTTTTTTGCAACACGATGACGCGTGTTGAAATTCTAACAATATATAAGTATTGTTGAAGTTATTGATAACATTTTTTGTCGAGATTTAAAAACTCTACGTTTCGTTCAATTTCGCAAACCAATCGATGGAATTTGAATAAGCTGATTTACTTGGAAAAAATAATTCGACAAAAAACCCTATTTCGCGGTTTAATTACTTTAATTTAATTTAATTTTATAGGACTTGAAATAAAAATACTTACTGTATAAACGACCCGTATTTTAAAATCTTATTAGAATATTTTTTAAAACAGATTAACTTAAAAATATTTTTAATATGTCAAAAAAAAATTTTAAATCTTATTCACTGGAAAATATTTTTTAAATACGTTAAAATTTAAAAAAAATATTTAACATATTGTTTTGTTTAAAGAAAGTTTTCATATAAATAATTACTCTTCAAAAAACTGGACGAAACAGCAAAGCGGGATCTCTTTGTGTCTGTCTTTAACTTAAAATATTTTAATTAAAAGATTGTCGGTTTGAAGAAAGTTAAAATGAAAATACTTACTGTATTAACAATTCGTAATGCGCCGGACGGATGGACGCACCTCAAAAGCATATACACAATCACAGACATATAGATAAATAGAGAGATAGATATATATCGACTATGATGGTCACTAAATATAGTCATAACACCAAAAAGTGAAAATTATTATTACTTTTATTTTATAAATACCCTACCACTCCCACAAAAACGTCGATATTTTAGGCTCTTTCTATAATAAGACTTTCAAATGTAACTTTAATATAATATATAAATTAGGTGACTATTAAGGGGACCAATTTATTACTTGACAATAATAGAATACCGATCTCCCACTTTATATCTGATAGAAGATTTTATTAATAAGAGTTTACCGATACCGCCAAATTGTTGCCATATATTGTCAATCCCTTACTGTAATTAGAATACTTTCATGTGAGAGAATTGTCTCAAAAGATTCTTACAATCTAAAATTATTTGTTGTCTATAAATAACCTTCAAAAGGTTGATAAACCGTAAAAATCAAATCAATCAATTCGCATGCAAGTCTTTAATATTTAGACATCAGTTTATCTTGCAGGATAAAGGTAGCGTTCCGTTTGGTCAAAATTCAGTCCATTAATGGTGTTCCTAGAGTGAAGTCTCCTGGGCACAGGACTGGGTGATAGTATATGGAGGATGTGATCTGCACAGACTACATGTCCCTTCCCTTGACAGTACCAACAAATTACAAAGGCGTACAGGGCATTACATTTGAAGACGGCTTGTCTTCAGGAGTTGTTAGAAAGTTGTCAGTGTTGACAGCCAATTGCATTCGGGCCTCCACTCCGGTTTTTCTGGCTGGATTCACTTCCATAGCCTTTTCCATGTTTGGTTTGATATGACTGCAGCGTAAGTTTAAAATCTGTGTTTTCCTTCCCCTAGATAAACTGTATTCCTTGTGCTGTCGAGTTCTATGCTTCCAAAGAAGCTGGTTATGAGGCAACAGTTATCCGACTTTGCCCATTCTCGGGCTTGGATATGGACTTAGTTGGCAGGGGCAATTTAAGATGCATACTACGGAAGCATGTTATAGACAGTGGAAGATATATAATATATTTTTTACAAGTATTATATAAAGTGATAATTGGAGGATAAGTTTCAGTCAGTCAGTTATGTGTCATGCTTAGGTGATCATATATCTTTCGATACATGACTGACTAGGCAGATTTTTTCCCGCCGAAGGTTGCCATTTCTTTCTGCGGTAGACTAGTTGCCATCCAAGGCAATAGAACTCGGTCTGCCCTGCTAATTATCTATATATATGACAATAGGAAAACTGTAATAGTTGCCGACGCGCTTCGTTCAATGTGTCCACATTGGACGAAACGCGTCGGCAACTATTAGTTTTCCTATTGTCATATATATTTATAGATATTGTCTTTTTCTACAGGTTAACACTGAGAAATTATATATATATATATATATATATATATATATATATATATATATATATATATATATATATATATATATATATATTGCGCCGATGGCTTAATGGTAGGATCTCTGACTAATGCCAAATCAGTCGAGTTTTGATCCCGACTTGAAGCAATCAGATATCTAGCCATACGAAGAAGAAGCGCTGTGATACAGCCTGTCTGGGGATGACTATATATATATATATATATATATATATATATATATATATATATATAGTCATCCCCAGACAGGTTGTATATATATATATATATATATATATATATATATATATATATTTGATAAATCTGACAGTGAGGAAAACTGTTTTATTGACTATGCGTTTCACCTTCGTTAGATTGGCTTCTTCAGATCAGAATGAAAGAAAGCTCAGTGTGTGTGTATGTGTGTGTGTGTGTGTGTGTGTATCTCTTTCTCTCTCTCTCTCTCTCTCTCTCTCTGTATCTGTGTGTGTGTGTGTGTGCCAATACTATATCATTAATAATAATACTAACAGGCATGTACTCAAGCACTCGTTATTAGTAAAGTGATCTCTCTTTGTCCTTGTTCAGTCATCCATTTACACAAACTTATTAAGAAGATTAATTGTTGTTATCTCACATTTTGTAATTATTTATAAAAATAAGTACTATTTTGAGACAAATTTCGCATACTGAATGTAACAAATATTGTGAGGCAATTATGCTCTGAAATTTTTCTTTTCATAATTATTTTTTTAATATAGGGAAAACTTTATATTTTCTTAGACTCATAAATATTTCTTAAAAATCATATCAAAGTTATTTATTCATTTATTTATTGATATTTTTATCAAACAATATCTAAATCCCATCTAGCAAAACAGAATGCGTAATTTTCAATTTAATATATCTATAATACATCATGTTGAACGAAAACATTGCCTGATTGAATTTCTAAGAAAATATTAGGAAGCCATCGATGGTTAGGCTCGCAGGAAGTCACAAGTCATTGTAACCGTAGCTTATTGGCCTTATACAAAACTTGATCACACCAGATTGGACGTTCTCTCCTGGAAACTGTAACTATGGTCTGCTCAGCTTAGTTATATCGAGAGATGCAGCAACGCTTAATCATAATTTTAAATTTCTGCCATCTTGTATGTCTAGAACCGAAATATATCCGGCCTTGTTCATCTTTTGTTTTTGTTTTTATTGCAATTAGTTTCTATAACTTCATCGTTTCACTCAATTTATAACGATAACATATATTTGATATATTTCAGTCCCTTCCCCTAATACATATATATGATTTCATTAGTAAAAAAATATTTAGTCTGAAGAAGTACTTTCAAAGGTCGAAACGCGCCACATATTATTTTCCATTTTGTAATTCAATTATTCACCAATAGTTTGATATATAAATATTTATATATATATATATATATATATATATATATATATATATATATATATATATATATATATATATATATATATATATATATATATATATATTATTTGGTAGAGAAGGTGAAAAACTGTTTTATTTACTATGTGTTTCAATTAAATATTTAAAAGGAAAATAGCATTAAAATCATAACATTTATAAAAATTATTTACATTATTCGGACTATTGTCCTCATCTTTGTCGCCATATTTATTACAGCGTTTCGGCCGTTGTATGCTCCGACCTTCTTCTTGTAATAAATATGGCGAGAAAGATGAGGACAATAGTCCGAATAATGTAAATAATGTACATAATATCTCATCTCAGAAATATAGACATTTATAAAAAAGTCATTAAATTAAAAATAATTATATTGAAAATAATTTCTATCCATCAAATAACAAACGCATGTGGAATTGTACCCTGCAAATATATTATTAAAGAAGTCTTAATCTTTGAAAGGAAAATAGACTTAAGATTATATCATTTGAAAAAAAAAATTAAATTAAAACTATGTACATTAAAATAATTACTCTTTAGCAAATAATTAAAAATACTTAAATTAAATTAATTTCTCTTTATTAAATAGTTAAAACTACTTACATTAAAATATTTCCTCTTTAGCAGATAATGAAAAATACTTACATCAAAATAATTTCTCTTTACGAAATAATTAAAACTACTTACATTAAAATAATTACTCTTTAGAAAACAACCAGGACGCGCGGATTTGGACCGTGCTAAAATTATTGTAAAGAAGTCTTAATCTTTAAAAATCATTTAGCATTGAAATTAAATAAAAATTATGCTGAAAATAATTTATGTTTATCAAATAGCAAACCTATGCAGCTCGATCCCGACAAAAATGATATAGTGTGTGACAGAAACAACTCCAATATCTACCTCCCAGAAATACCTCCCATATAATAGTAAGACAAAGGTGTCTTCATCTAGCTAATATATCACCATTATGTGGGAGGTATTTCTGGGAAGTAGATGTGGGAGGTAATCCTGCGGCACACTGGATTAATGAAATTTTAATCCTTAATGCATTTAGCATTAAAGTCATATAATTATAAATATGTCATTAAATTAAAAAATAATTTGAAAATAATTTATCTATATTAAATAGCAAATCCGTATAGACTTTAATATTATATTAAACAAGTTTAAAAGGAAATTAGCTATAAAATCATAACATTTGGAAAATATATCATTAATTAAAAATATTTACATTAAAATAATTTCAACTTACCAAATATCCATATCGCTTGATTGTAGATCCTGCTAAAATTATATTAAAGAAGTCTTACTTTTAAAACTGTATATGGCTTTAAAATCATTATATTTATAGAAATGACATTAAACTCAGAATATTTACATTTAAAATAATTACCAAATACCAAATAGAAAAACTTTGATTCCTGTAAAAATTAATGTTAATCTTAAACAGGAATTTAAAATTAAAAAACATATTTATGAAAATGTCATGACAGTATAATTACTTGCATTGAAAATATTTTCCCTTTATCAAATAGCAAACCCGTGTGGACTCAAGCCCTGCAAAAATGGTGCTAAATGCTTCAATGATGGTGAGAAATACAAATGCGTGTGTACAGCTGGTTTCATGGGACCAAACTGTGTTGAACGTAAGTAGATGATTACATACCAAAGTTACATATTACAATAAATGTACACCTTTTTACATTATGAATTAAAATTATTAACTACTAACAGTAGAGCCCGGCGTTGCCCGGGGATGTAACAGTAAGAGATAGATCAAGTATCGACCATCATAAAGACTGAAAAATGAAATTGACAAAGATTATTGTTTAAGGTTGACGGAAACGCATGTCTTAATTAGTTTTTTTTTTTACGAATTGGTCAAACCCAAACTCAAACAAAAACATTGTTTTCAATCGTTATGAGTCTCTACCGATTGAATAGAATTTTACTATAAACAATTGTCTTGTGAATGGAATTTTTAAAGCATTCTGAATCTAAAATAAAGAAAAAAGTGTGCAAGAAAATAAGAAACACTGCTTGCCAAAAAAAGTGAAGTTTTGTTGAAATCGATTGAAAAATGTAGGAAATCCGATCTTGATATGAGTTGTTCCCCTTTCATTCTCGCGACAGCGATGACTCTTAATCGTGTTTCAAATTGATTTCGCGCAAAAACAATTGTGTTTTTCCAATTTTTTGCGCTGTCAGAACCACCGAAAGGTAATTTTACGTAGTCCTGTGAAGTTTTGTTGAAATCGGTTGAAAAATGTAGGAAATCCGATCCAATATATAAACGAATAGAGACACACACACAACCTGGGTTTTATAATAAGTATGATGATTAATCATATACTATATATATATATATATATATATATATATATATATCATTATTATAAAATGTTAGTTTATTGGATAGCCTGCTTTTTTTTTATTTAAACAGTGTGGATTACATTTATTGATGCGGTGACCGGTAGATGTAATGCACGCTGTCTAAAAAAAAAAAAACAAGGCATTTATATATATATATATATATATATATATATATATATATATATATATATATAACTATGTGAGTGTATGTGTGTGTGTGTGCTCGTGTATGTACAGTGGTGTGACAATTTAATTATTAGTGTTTCCCTAGAGTAATGAGGCTCGTCCAAACATTTTTTTATACTGAGGTTCAAACAGTCCAAGGACCAAGAGCCTCACCAGGTGGCTGTATAGCGTTGTATGAGAAGAAGAAAAAACAAAAAGTGAAGTTCATGATATTATGCAGGAAATATAATAGTTAATCCTTGACGAGCTCCTGATTGTAGTGACTGGGAAAACATCGTGCTGAGAGTCAGTTTCACATTGTTACAGTTCTTGGGAAGAAGCTGATGAAGTGATTCCACTCTTTTGAAACGCAACCCAGATGATTCATTTGTTACCGAGCAGTAGAGGAAGTAGTATTTATTCATGCTATATTGTTGGTAAAAAAAAAACCGGTGAAAAGTATCTGGAACAGCAAATTAAGATCATGTTTTGTATGAAGATTTGTAAAAGTGAAAATGAAGCATTAGTTCTATTAAAATTGATGGTGAACATGGTTTGAAGAAATTGAGTCTTTTATAGAGGCACAAGCAGATAGATAACAAGATGTGTTCGATAATGAAAGATGTTGGCAGCCCAAAAAAACTCAAAGAACAGTTGCAGATAAGGACATAGGGTGAACCTTGGCGTGATAAGATCAAAAAATGTGTGCAACTGATAGCAGACGAACTGAATATTTAATAGGGAAATTACAGCAGATTCTCACAGAGGATTTTGGAACGGGAAAAATGAAGCGTTAAATGATCGTGCATTCCTAGCTGAGAAATCTGTTACAGAAGTGGACCATCATTCTTATTTAACCGATTTCACCAACAAATTCAAAACAATGTCCTCAAAACACAAAGACTTGCGGACATCTCTGACATGCAGACATTTGACTACATTACTGAAAAGTATTCTAGGAAACAGTTCTAAAAATGTTTCTAACAATAGCATCAACGTCTCATAAGTGTATAGCTTCATAAAGGGAAGTAATTTGAATAAACAAACTTTGCTTTCACAGGGTCATTATGAGTAAATTGTTGCAGACTTAATGTTAGTTTAGTGGATGCTCTTGTTTGAGTAGACACTTATGGATGTTATGGCTATTAGTGTTGGGTTGATTCTTTCACCTAAACATCCAAAACTTGTTGAATTGCCTTCGTCGCTGAAATAAATAGACAAAGAAAAGAAGGATACGGAGACACTAGAGGGACAGTTTAGGACACTGATTTTATTTCCTTCTTTTGCATTCCAACGACCTCTTGTTGGGGAATTTCCTTCCCGAACAGTTGGCACGTGTTCACCAGTCAAAGGTCCAACAGAGAAAGAGATAGATTCTTCTAGTTTATCTTTGGCGCCAGGAAATCTCTTTTTTTGCACATGCGTAAATTGTCTTTCCTGTCAGAGGACTCCTGTGTGAGATTTTTATGTTTATTTTATTTGTACTTTTATTTAATTTTGTATTTTTATTTAATTTTGTATTTTTATTTTATCCCTACACACTCTGCTTTTTATTTAAACAGTGTGGATTACATGTACTGAATGTGCTGTTTAAAATAATAATAATAATAAAAAATCAAACGGGTTTTCACTAAAATAACATTTGGAGTAATCAGAAATAATGTCAGATAAAAAAAGCGTATAGCTTCATAAAGGGGTCTACTTCGAATAAGCAAACTTTGTTTTCGCAGGGTCATTCGGGGCAAATTGTCATAACAGTCTGTTTCATGCTGAAATGCAAACTTCAGTCTGGAATATTGCATTTAAAGATGAAGCAAATTGTCACCGTTGGGTGTTGACCTCAATGTCCACTTTTATATTTACACAAGCTCTATCCATGATATTGAGCACTTTAACTCGTAAATATAGCACAACTTAAAACGACATTTTTATCATCTCTCTCCCTCTCTCTCTCTCTCTCTCTCTCTCTCTATATATATATATATATATATATATATATATATATATATATATATATGTTTTATTTATTTGGTAAAACGTTATTTTAAATGGATACTCATATTTGAGTATATGCTCTGTTATTTACTTATCACCGGACTGAATACTGGAGAAATCTTGTTAGAAAAATATGCGAACTTCTTTTAAAAATAAACACCAGAACATCTACTCAAGTCTGAGTAATCTAACATTTAAGTAAATAAATTAATATGTGGGGTTTAATCTATTTTTCTAATATATATATATATATATATATATATATATATATATATATATATATATATAGCCATAATAATAATTGTTTACACCCCAAAATCTGCTGATTTGTATATTGCTGCAGGATTATGCTTTTGTGGCAAGCAGATTTTGTAAATAATGTTATCAATATTAACAAATTGAGCGTGAATACTAGATAAATAAAAAGTTCAAAGACATTAATAATTTCACTCGAAACAAGGCAATGAGACCCCTAAGACAGAAGGGGATTACTGTATGTGAAAGAATATGAGAAAAAGAAAAATATTATTAAGGAGAGCGAGAGAAAAATTAAAGAACAATAAATTACGGAGGCAGAAGATAATGATTGACATTGCATTTACATTTTTGAAGATCAAACTTGACTGGAAAGCAAGAAGCCAGAATAGAGTTCCACAAGTCAGAAGTGTGATCAAACAAATTGTTAGCACAGAAGATTTGGTTAAATTTAGCAAATTCAACTGTAAAATGATGAGACCTAACTGCCAATCTAGTACTGCGCTTAAATTCGTAAAGTCGAGGAATCAAATAGAAGAACTGCCATGAAAATATTTATAGAAAATAACAGGAAAATTACGATACGGCACTGGAAAAGTGACTGAAGCCGAGATGCTAGGTCAGGACCAATAACATTGCAGATTCTTCTTTGCATTTTGTCTAAAATCTTTAAATACATAGCAGAACCACTAGACCAGATGTGACAGCAATATCTGTAACGGAAAATGGCTCGGAATTGTAAATTGGAGAGCCGAGTTCCCATTCCTATTGGGTTCGTTTTATTTCTTTACGCGCAAATACCATTGGGAAAGGTATGAATCCACCTCTTCTCCCCCACCCAACTATAGGCTAATTAATAAGACTTTTATCACTAAATCATTTTTATCTAAAAGCAAAAATTATTACAAACTGAAAGTATTTTCTGGCTTTAAATAACCTGTAAAGTGTTGACAAGCCGTAGAAAATGAATGAATCAATCAATGAAATACTGATTAGCTACATAGACATTTTTAGATTTATTTACATTCACTGGTATATAAATGCATAGAAACTACCGTGTTTACAAAATGAGGGATCATTTTTTATATTGATTTTAATATACAAATGATCCCCTATTTTATATCCACACTATAATTTCTTGTTTGTTTATCAAATTCTGACTAGTTATAAAACCCCCCTTTCCTCCCTCCCTCTCGCAATGTGCTAATTAGTAAAGGCTTGTATAACAAAATCATTATTATCTCCAAAGATATTCTTACAATGGAAATGTAATTTCTGGCTTTAACTAAGCAGTAAAGGGTTTATAAGCCGTAGAAAACGAAACAGTCAGTCAATCAACCAACAGTTCGTTGTGACGTGCTTTATGAAATGCTTTTGCATAATTTAAAAAGCATACATCCTTTTATTTCAAGTTACGGGACTCCAATGATTTTAGTCCTTTAATAAACAATGATAATAATATAATGATAACAATGATAATAATGATAATTATAATAAACAATGATAATGATATATATAATGTATTTCCTTTTATTTCAAGTTATAGGTCTTCAATGATTTTACAAAAAAATGTGTATTTTTTCATTAACTTAAGAAACACCCCCAAAAAAAAGAAAGAAAAGAAATTAACAAAATAAAAATCTTCAAAGCTTTACGCAAATATTTCTCAGTTATCAAGAGCTTGAAAAGTTTTTTAAATTTTTTATTTTAAGGATCGTTTCAATTTCACCCTGAAATATTTATTGTGTCTGAGATAAACATTTCATTCATGCTTATTTTTCAGCCAATCCATGTGGACTGAAACCATGCAAAAATGGTGCCAAATGCACAAACGACGGAACAGAGTTTATCTGCACATGCACACCTGGATTTATGGGAAAAACTTGCATTGAAGGTAAGGCACATATTAAAAAAAATCTCTATTATAATTCTGCTTATCCCTTCTTCATTAGTTAGTTTCTTAATTACTTCGCATGACCGTCATGCCTTGGCAATACCTCATAGATAAAGGACAATCCCGTGTTGGCCTCATGAAGACACGGAAATGACATATCGGAGATGCTACGTGGTTTCAGATTTGAGTGATTCCTTTTTATATAATCTCTTAAGTAAACGAGGATTACACGGAAGCTCCCATCTCCTCTCCAAATAACATGTGTCAGAGTGTATTGTAGAATACTGATTGATATGACCAAGTATTAAATGCTTAAGATAGATTGCATTTACAATGTTAAAAGTGTCTAACTACTTCACTATTTGCCCATAACAGGGAAACATGCATTCATGCCTTTCTCAAAGAAATTAATGTGAAGTTAGTGCAAACTTTCTAATTGAATTCAGCTCGACAACTCCATTCATTTTGCTATTAACTATTTAGGCCACCTGCACCTCCTTTGCTGATTCATGGCATTAAGAAAAAACACACACATTGTCGCCACTGTTTAGGGTATAGGGTCTACGATTGATGTATCGGATAAGACAAGTTCGAATCCCAGTCGAGTTTTGCGTGACAAAATTTTTTTTACACTTTACCAGTATTTTTATTTCTGATTATAAGTAGGTTCTTTATAATTCTATTTTATTTTGGGTTCATCAGGAGACAAGCGTGTCAAAAAGAATGTTTATATTTCGGCAGTATTTTTTATATCAATCACATTTTAGTCATTTATATTATATATATAAAAACTACCATAAAACACCCATATACGCAACCATATATAAATCCAAAATTTCAAAATTAATCAGTTTGTCTGACGATCGCAAATGGCGTGAAATCCAGAGTCACAAACTCACACCACCAATCAACTATATATATATATATATATATATATATATATATATATATATATATATATATATATATATATATATAGGGTGCTATGGATAAATTGTTATTTAAATTACACAAAAACGAAAATAACACTGACATATTTTAATAGATATATTTAGCAAAATTACACAAAAATATCTTGAAATACTAAAGAGTAAATTTATTCAAAAATAATATTCATCGGCTTCCGCCACGGCCTCCAGACGACTTCTGAATCTCCTGCAAATCTTCTGGACGGTCATATGCCAGCATTTACCAAATTAAACAAGTAGTTGAATGCTACCATAATCCTTGCTTTTAGTTCATCTTTAATGTTACAAGGAGTTTTGTTGGCCTCTCTCTCAATTGCGCCCATACATAAGACTGGGGTTGCAGTCTGGGAAGTTAGTTAGGTGGCAAGATGTCAGGAGTGATGTGGTCGCAGAAATCGTCAGACAGCCATGACTTAGTTCTCCTGTTTGGCAAGATAGGGTTTTCCAGCAGGGAAGCACAATCTTCTCAAGGCTCTTGATGTAGGCCTCCGTATAGATTCTGAGGCCCTATGGGAAGATGAATGGAGGCATAACGTCGCCATCATTAGTGATAACTCCAAATACCTTCGTAATCACTATTAGACTCATCCAACTCTTTCCTAATCCTCTGCACGGTCCCCAGGTTAACACTCAAACACTCGGAAATGTTCGTATTGGAGCTTTCAGCACGAATGCTAAGCAATACAGCATGCCGTTTTCAAATTTCTGGTTTTCCTAATTGCGTCACGGTGTACTTTTTCTCACAGACAATTCCCAACTGACTCTACTACAATGTTCAGTCCACAAAATAAAAACAAACAACCCGCATGTGCCAAATTAAAATTATAAAGTGACGTCAATTTACACATCGCACCCTTAAATACATACACACACACATACACATATACAAATAAGAGAAAGAATATTTGGAGCAAAATTCCATTATTCGTAGCATTTACTTTTAAAAAGTGTTCAGTACAAAGTAGAGCAATATATTGTTACTTTTATTGTAAGAGATTATCATAAAACATGTTGAAATCGCTACACAAAAGTTTTCATGTTTCAATATTTTTGATGTGATGGTAAATAACTGGTGATTTAATGATTATTAAGATTATTATTTCAAAAGCAAAGTGTTACCACTTTTCCAAAAGATAAAGGGAAGGTGGGAAAACATAGGGTCAGAATTAAAAATAGACTTGCGGGTATGTCTTGATTAACCAATTAAATGCCAGATCTGTACCAAATCGAAAAGTAAGCTCAGAGGGTGGAGGTGGGAGAGGTATTTTTCATGCCATGATAAACCAGAACATAGACAGGCCATCATTGACAATTGTGGAACATATGTATACAGCAAATGTATCGTGATTGTTGACAAATATGACGACATGATCATTTTTTGAAAGGACGTTGAATAGGAGGATAATCAGATGTTAAGTTAATTTCAACAGAAAATTTATTTCATTTTTTTTTTAATTTTAGATTCAGGAAGCTTCTTAAAGTAGCCTGTAGATAAAATTAAAAATATATTCACATCTTGTTTTTAGTACTGCTGAGTGTTTAGCGACCTTTCTCGCTAGTAAAGCTTGTTAAAGAAACGGTTTAGTCGCCGATGATCTGATCATGTGGCAAGTTGTTCTGAGTTACAGAAGCGCCTGTAGAATAACTTAGCATAAAATGCATTATTATAATTGATATTTTCTTTCTCTTTTTGAGTAGAGAAGAAATTTTTCTTAAAATTTTGTCGAAAAGATTACTGTTTAATTTAGTTAGAACTGGGCTGTTTATTACATTTTAAAGTTTTACGATTAAGAATCTGCATTTGGAAAAATACGGTATTGTTGAAATAAGGGAAACTGAAATTTAATAACTAATCTTTTTCTTTTACTGTAGGGTTTGTTATTTGATCTTGTATTAGAGAAACATTAAAGAGATATTGTCCTTCAAAATGAAATACGTTATATTTAATTTTGCAGTGAACGCTTGTGGTCTCAAACCTTGCAAGAATGGAGCCCTGTGTACAAATAAAGACAATGGTTATGTTTGCACATGTAAACCTGGCTTCAAAGGAATTGACTGTCAATTTGGTAAGTGTAATACAGATAAGTTTTATGCCTATTTACTGACTAGTTTGTCAATAATGTTTGGCATAATACTTTTAAATTCAAATTATAATATTGTTCATATATATATATATATATATATATATATATATATATATATATATATATATATATATATATATATATATATATATATATATATATATATATATATATGGAGGCGCATGGCTAAGTATTAAAAATGTTATTTTTCAAGTCATGAGAACAGTGTTCGAATCTCACCATGGGAGATTTTTCAGGAATGTGATTTGTTGACGATATCGCTATACAGTGCGGCACCTTTGGAAACTTTTTGAAAGCCATACCACGGGTTGAGTGAAACTGTGTTCACAGAACTGTTTGGATACTGTCGATTGTTGTGCCAGCACGAAATCAAACGTCATCAGGACCAAAGGTCTGAGAGCCTGGCTATGTTCAAAGTATTCATCCAAACAGCTTAGACACTCTCTCCCAGAAAATGTAACTGAATAGAACAGTAAGAGTATAATTCATAGATAGGTGCTAAGCAAATGCAAACGTAACTAAGTTTGCAACAGGCATTGGTTAGCTACCTCAGCAGACGGGTGTGCTAGGAAACCGTACTTGGTCATTATTATTATGTATTTTATATGACTGACGCCGTCAATAGAACCATCTGATGTAGAAAATCTATTCACAAACGTCCCCGTTGACTAAACAATCCATATAATCTGTAAGTCTGTTTATAAACATAATTCGATTCCACGTCCACCCATAATACCTAATACACTCAGAAAATTACTACCTGACAACTAAAGTACAATTCAACAAACTGTGTCAGGAGTTTTAAAAATATTATCTTAGAGATTCTTTTGGGCATAATATATATATATATATATATATATATATATATATATATATATATATATATATATATATTCGTGTCTGTAAAATATCAGATAGAATATATCTGTAATAGGACAGTATCAATGAGGATATAAAGGAACACTTATATTAGTCGAAGCGTTTCGCTCTCTGAGGGACTTTTTCAAGGAAAAATACTTCACAGGACCAAATGAGTCGGCTAAGATAAGTTTTTTTTTGTTTTTATTCACACACACACATATATTGTGTGTGTGTTTGTGAGTGTGAAAGAGAGAGAGAGAGAGAGAGAGCGTGTTTGTGTGTTAGGTCATTCCTCTTTGCTTTATATTAATTTTGGCAATAATTGTGAATTAACCAAATAATCGTGTTATATTTGCAGTTAATGCTTGTGGCCTGAAACCATGTAAGAATGGTGCAACCTGTACAGATGTAGGAGATAGCTATAAATGCACATGCAGAATGGGATTTAAGGGACCAAAATGTGAAATCAGTAAGTCATTAAATATACATCCATAAAAATAACAGTTGAGTTGACTTTTCTTTGTTTCTAAATTTTCGCGTTTCTTTGACTAGCTTTTGTTAGGCATTTTTCCCTATTCCAATGTACGCTCATTTTTCCATCCCCTGTTAAAAAAAAACACTTCCCAGATATTTAAATTTTCGCACTGATCTTGATTTTGACATCAACAAATCGTAGTTTGCATCTTGAGCTTTTTTCTTTTGCCAACAGTCAGAGATGTTGCCTTTTTGCAATTGCCCTTCTTTCTCCTTTTATTTTTCTTCTGTTGGTGTTCTTGCAGTTTCATATCTGTGTCTAATTATGGAGATGAATGTGTATTTCTTATAAATGATGATGTATATTAAATTATGCTATTGTTTTTAAAATTTCAGTTGACCACTGTATGTCCGATCCATGTAAAAATGGCGCTACATGTGTAAACCATAAAGAAGGTTATTTCTGTAAATGCAAGCCAGAAAATAAAGGAAAGAACTGCGTGAAAAGTAAGAAACGAAAATTACTTTTTAAAACTTTTTCCGTGATTTAATTATAACTAATTAATGATAACAGTCATTTGGAATTAAGTTTTTAATAGGACAACACAATTTATTGATATAATTATTGTCGCGAGGTCGAGTGGATCGAAATAGATAAACTCTGTGAAAAGTAAAAGTTGTTTTATTAATTTTACATTAGACCTTTTCATCATAAACTGTCATTCTTAATTACAATGCAAATCATTAAAACAATTTATTGAGGATTATAATTGTATCTGTTTTTTTTTTTTAATATAATAATACTAACAGAAGTACTTAAAGATACCTAGATATATCTAAATATTTAAAATGAATACAATCTCATAATATAAATTAATATACTTTATAGCAATTACCTTCAAAAGAAGCTGTTAATCTTCGGTTTGTCGAGGAATGTTGATTCAAGCAGAAGTCTTGCTTTGAAGCAGTTAGGAAAAAATTTCTATTTTACTTTTAGAAAACTATGAAAAAAGGCAAGAAAAATATAAATCTATAACCTAACATGAAACTCTATTTTCACAAGTTTTAAAATAATTACGAAATATACGTTTTTTTTGTTTTTTTTTTTTTTAGAGGAAAAGTAAACAAAAAAGATACAAGTGAAATTTCTAAGGAACTTAATAAGGAAAGAGGGTTCGGAAGCCTTAACACTCACAGGACAGAAGAAAGCAGCGAATAACCTAAGTTACGAACTTGTGTAAATGGTTGGCAAAAAAAAAAAAAAAAAAAAGAAGAAGAAATCTTGCGATTCGAAATAATACTTATTGTCTCCATTCACACTCAACTAAAAAAAAATAAATTTTCAAGGGAGATAATTATTCAGTGATAATTTTAGAATACTACCTTTTATTCATTTACATCTAGGTAAACATCTGGGCGTCAAAATATAGTTCTTCCTTTAGCACGTAATACACAGAAATGCATGTAATCTGAGAGGAATCGAATTCAATGATAATCTTTTCTCGATCGTAATTTTCTCTCGAAGGCTAGCCAAATGCGCCATAGAGTTGCCTTTGTAGATAATAAATATAGTCCTATTTACAGAATAATAAAAGTGATGTCAAAAGTACGCAGGTATAGGCTTTAGAAAAGCTTTATTCAAGTGAGAATACAAGGTTCACGTATAGTGTCCTTTTATAGTCCCAGTAAACAGAAATAGCTCTCTTAAAAAGGAGAGAAACGAAACAAGAGGAGACTACACTTGATTATTCATAACACTAAATTGATTTAGTTTCAATATTGTTTATCAATTTGCAATGAAAACCAAATGATTTATAGTCGTTTTGCTATAGAACAATGTTTAACCAGATAATCACTGTAATGATTTCGAACCTCATTGAATGTCTGGCATTTATAATGTTGCTTCGAAATAAAATAAACTTAGCAAATCTTAATGACATGTTGATTTATAATTCAATTTGTATATAATAATTTGCAATTTCTTCTTTCAGTAAATCCATGTGGATTGAAGCCATGTGAGCATGGAGGTAAATGTATTCCTGAAGGAATCCATTATCGATGTGAATGTACGCCAGAATATGAAGGTCCTCGCTGCGTTAAACGTAAGTATAAAAAAGTAATTTGAAGCTAAAATTTTAATAATTAAATCCATATAAAGAGACAGCCTACGCCTCTGGATGTAAATGTATTCCCAAATGAATCCATTATCGACGTGAATTCCCAACAGAATACGAAGGACAGCGATGTGTTGAACGTAAATATTTTTTCTCATAACAGTTCGTTCAAAAGTTGGGCTTTTATTAATTTTGCTGCTTATCAAGATTTACTTAGCAATTTAACTGCAAGGAATCATTTTCTGCAAATTTGGATTTTGTGAAAATATTATCTCAATTCCAAAGAAGGATATGCAATGTAATTGGCCCTGATCTGGCATCTCGTCTGCAGCCGCTCTCTCACAGACGTGCCGTTGCCTCCCTCTGTCTTTTTTACAAATACTTTCACGGTAACTGCTCCGATAAGCTGCTTTCGCTGGTTCCCAGACTTTATGAATTTAAGCGTCCTACGAGGCTGGAATCTCGCTCTCACCCTTTCACTGTCGAAACTGTTAAATGTAGCTGTCTCTTCTACTCCAATAACTTTATGTCTCGCACTTCTCGCCTGTGGAACGCCTTCCCCATTTCTTGTTTTCCTGATAGCTATAATCTCCAACTATTCAAATGTAACGTCAAGCGACGTCTCCACATGCCCTGATCTATCCCCTATCCTTCTCTTCATCCTTTCCTCTATCAATCCTCTTTGTTCTCGCTCCAACTCTCTAACCCCTTGCCTGTTAGTAGCTTCCCGCCTTGTTTGGGGTTGAATGCTTATAAAAAAAATTCTAATTGAATTGATTCTAATGTATAAATATTGTCTCTTTTGCTTACGACCTTACTGTTTTTCTTCTTATAGTTTATAGTGAGTCCTTTCTTTGCCCTTTCTTTTACTACCATATTCAGGACTTTCTCTAGTTCTCTTTCTGTGTGTGATATCAACACGGTGTCATCTACGTATCTAAAGCATTTAAGATTTTTTTCAATCAATATTAAGTCCTGGTAGGAGTTATTTTTTTCTTACGATCGCCTCTCTGCACAGTTTAAATAGATCCTATGAGAAGACATATCCTTGACTCATGCTCCTTCTTATTTTATGTATTTGCTCAATGTTTTTTTTTAATTTTATCCGTCTGCAGACATTTTGTCCCAGTATGTTTTCCGGGTTATTCTAATATATTTTTCGAATAAATCGAGTTTCCCCAGTAGTTCTAATATATCTTTATGTCATGCCTTATAAAACATCTGTGCGTAGTCTATGAAACCTATAGAAATATAAAACAAACGTTAGACTTAGTATTCGGCAGGAAGTGAGGCAACTATCTGTAGATGTTTCTCTCTCTGCTGTGCAACGGTATTTCAGAACATATTTCATGAAAGCAGCACCAACTGCAACTGAACCAATTTGAGATAATGAGAAACAATCTAACGTGTGGCCAACAATGCACACTTTGTGTATCAGGAAAAAGTTTGAAATATACTTGATAATTTTTTCAACAAAACTGTGTATCCTTATGGACAATACCTTAAATAGTATTGTGCAGAAAATACGAACCTACCTTTTAAAAGGCCGAAGATGTATGCTTGCCGACGCAGATATCCATTGTAAAACTCATAGTGGCTCATTTTATCACATACGTTCAGTCAGTTGAAAAGTTCATAGGCTGTGCAAAATACTCTCATGGAATTTAACCAAATGTGGTTTATTTTCCAACATAGTCCCTTTGCTAGTTTACCTGAAAAGCAAAAACAAAAAAAAATGCAGTTATTAATAAGAGTTAAAATTAATGCATGAAATATCTCACAGCTCTAACATCACGCCTTCATTGTCAGCCTATGAACTTTACAGCTCACCCTCGTATGACAGTAAAGTTTGAGAATAACCCGGGCTTATCGCTTAAAGGATTTGTATAAATGCGTTAAAGCCGGCATATAGACAACACTTTTGACGAATCAGTTTCAGAAGAGTGTCATAGAAGAGCCGAAGGGACAACGTTAGCAGTGACGCTGCGACCCTGCAAACTATTTATTGTACATTTTTGTTCTGCGAGTGCGATGCGATCACTCTTTATTTTCCTTTACTAATTGTTCACACGATACAAAGCCTATGAGCAACTCAAGGTAGAGTGTTACTCATTCAGAATCTGTAGGAAAGATAACAGTTAACCGTAGAATCAAAATGGGTCAAGATTTGTAACGATCGGGGAAGCTGTTCTTGGGAAGAAGCTGTCTGAATGGAATTCAAAGAGACTGGGGTGAAGTTGAGTCCCAATAGGATTTCGAGGCAAGAAGCCTCCTTCAGAAAGCAACCATTCTTCATAATAGGTGAAAGATCAGGGTCTGCTCGATAATGGTGGAACCTTACTAGTTTGGCTTGCGAGTTCTTGAATCTTACAAGCCAGTCCTCCAATGACCGCTAGACCTAGATCAGAGGAGCGATCAGCTGTCAGTTTCTGTTCATCTAAATTGTTGAAGGTGCAACCGTACACTATTGTATCATCTGCTTATATATTTCCTGGAGATCAGAGTATGTTCTTAAGAAGGTCGTTAATATAAAACAGAAAACTATTGTTTTGAAGCCCTTCTATGATGAGATTTCTTTACAATCACCCGAGACCTTTATTTTCTCAACGGTTCATTACCATTTCGACATATTTTATATCGTATTTTTATGTTGTATATATGATTTGTAATTAGATTCCAGTTAATGCCTTTACCTTTCTTATCAAGTACCTCTCGCCAACAAAACTGGCAAATATTGATCGTGACAAAACAGAACCAGTTAGATAATGTCCCGACCAAAAATGTCTACATTTTTCATCTAACCCCATCACATTTACGGTGTCAGAGAAACATCGTCGAATGGGCCGGATTGTAACCAAACACCACCAATTACATAAGGTCAAACTTCGTTCAAAACATACGAAATAGTTGGTTGATTGGCTATATAAACCTCTTTGGGCTATTTAATGCCTACATCTAAATATTTTGTACGCGATTTTATTTTATTTTTTGGAGATAATAATGGTTTTGTGATACAACTCTTATTAATTAACCCATAGCTGGGGGAGAAAAGATGGATTCATACCATTCCTAATGATATTTACGCAAAAGTAAATATAATGAACCTCAATGAAATTGGAACTCGGCTCCCCGATTAACAATTCCGAGTCATTATCCCACAAATCCAATACCTCAAAATCCAAGCTTACAGCACCTGGTATTCTCAATCGTTCACCCATATAGGTACTGATCAGGATTGATGTTGCTTAACTTCGGTGATCATATGGGAACCCGTGTTTCAACATGATATTGTTCTAAGCCCGATTTTAAATAGGAACATTCTCTTTGCGATTAGTTTTTACCTTTCTCTGTTATGTCCTGCGCTGTAGGTCTTTGATAAAATAAAATATAAAACAGAAAAAGGATAAGGCTGAGAAAGGAGCCTTGGAGAAAGCCTGCATTGATCACCTGGGATTCAGAGGAATGGCCATTAACAACGACCTTCATGGACCTACCTGTATAAAAATTATTTTATAAGCGTGGAAACTCTCTAGGTATTATGTACTTAACACATGGCCATACAATAACTTCATATATTTGACACCCATGATATTCTGATAAATTACCCTTATAATGACTCCATTGTCTTCTTAAGTGCTACGTTCCTTCAGGATGTAGGCAATCATAGCTCTTCACAGTTTTCGTTTCATTAACGTCCGTAAAATTGATTGTCATTATCATTCTTAGTAGACATAATGGATTGGTTTTAGGTTGACTTCATCATGCTTTTGAATCCAGTGCTTCAAGACCAGCTAACAACCACTCTGATGTTAAAACCTACAAAGAAGAGATGCAATCCTGCCTGCATTAAGGCCATTAATGTAATAGTGATCATATACTGTCTTCACTAGAATTTGAACTTTACACGACGATTTAATTTTTAGCGTTGTTTATCACTAGTCTCCCCACACGCAAAAAGATGAGCTGAGGTTATAAGTCGTGCTACTCTACTGTTTATTTTATTATATATTCTTTAATCTTTATCTGGAACAATTACCAACCAAAGTTGACCGCAATCTGGATCATAGGGTCATTGTAAACTCCACGATGCTTCCATTGGCTGCACATGCTTCACTGGTTTTACATGCGGTTTTGAATCAAGATGGAAGAGCCCAGGCTGCTTTATTATTTACCCATACTTAGAGGTTTTGAATTCAGAGTTGTCCTTCTCCTAGACCGGTTATCATCAAAGGTTAAAGAATCCAGTTTGCTTTATCATTTACGCCATAACTGGGGGATTCGCAAAGAGATGGATTCATACTTTTCCTAAGGGTATTTTAGAAAAAGTGAATGTAATGAAATGGACTAGAGTTCGAACATGGCTCTCCGATTTCTCATTCTGAATCACTATATATACACCACCTGCACATGCGATGTTAGTATATAAACACTATCAATATGTACTGTCTGAATGATTTATACATTATATATATATATATATATATATATATATATATATATATATATATATTATTATTATTATTATTATTATTATTACTATCATTATATTATCATATATTAATATCATTATTATTATTAACATTTGTATATGTTATGTTTCCTGCTTTGTATCCTGTAGAGCCGGGTCCAATCTATGGTCCTTAGGCGCTATAGGTGAATTGCCATTTAATTAATACCACTTATCTTTGTATATGGGATGTTTCTAGTGGGGCCATCTTCTGGACTACTTATATATTGATGTTACCTGGGATAGTGTTAGTAAAATTGCCCATTCCTTTTCTCACAAGGTCCAGAGTTCTTATTGCTATTGGTACAGTCTCAGTCTTCATTTCCCGCATCCTGTTAATATCGTCTTTGTATTTGGATCATTTTTTGATAATTTTCATGGAGGTGTTTCTCTCAGATGGTACTGCTATGTCAATAAACATACACTTCCTGAATTTCTTGTCTTTTGTGATAATGTCAGTTCTGTTGGCTTTTATTTCCCTGTCAGCTTCAATTGGCATATCCAAGAGGATAGTTACATAGTTATTTGTGTAATTGGCGGTCATATCATCTCTCAGTGGTTTTGATTTTGTGCTTCTTGCATATCTTCCAGTGCACATATGTCGCTACCTTGGTATGTCGTTGGGTATATTAATTTTTTGCTAATTCTGGACATCCTGAGATAATATGGTCAACAGTTTAATCATGTTTTCCGCAGATCCTGCATTTCGGGTTAGTTTCTTCCTTGATTATGTGACGATGATAGGATCTGGTTACGAGACTTTGCAATGATTAGACTTCTATCTCAGCTTTTAACCGGGTGCTTCTCAGCCTCATGTGCTTTCTGTTGATCCACATCTGCTTCTTTCATTCTTTGTAAGTGTTTGTCATGCAACGGCTTGTCCTCACAGTTTTTTTTTTGTAATTTCATTGGACAAAGTTTGTTTTGCTTTCTGTTTTACGCGTTTGACGTAGATGGTATTAGCCTCGTTTTTTGTTGGTAGGGTTCCGGGTATATTAAATTGTTTCTTGAAGAGTACAGCTTCTTTGTTGATGGGGTGAATTTTGTGTTTTACTATTTATAGGAAAGGGTCATTGGTTTTTGTGAGGTATGCTTCCAATTCGATTGTTGTAGTTTTTAGAGTTAGTTCAAGTTTAATTAGACCTCGGCCTCTTAAAGCTCTTGGTACGTACAGCCTATTAACATCTGATTTCGAGTGGCGCATCCTCATTTGGATAATGATTTTTTTTGGTCTTGGCGTACAATCTTTTAATGTCATTCAACTTTCATTTAATAATGTTGAAGCTGTATATCACTACGGGTATAACTAACGTGCTGATAACCTTTATTTTATTGGCCCCATTAAATTCGCTTCCTCGTATCAGACGCACAATCCTACAATATTCTTTTCGGATCTTCTTCATAATTAAATGTTCTATTCTGTCTTCTTCATTAATTTCTATGTATTTGTATGTACCATCTTGGTCTAGTTCCTTAATCTTGTTGTTGATATCAAGATCTAAATCTGTAGTTTATTATTATTATTATTATTATTATTATTATTATTATTATGCAGTAAATGCATGTGGACTTAAACCCTGCAAAAATGGTGCCAAGTGCTTCAAAGATAAGGATACATTCAGATGTGTTTGTACAGCTGGCTTCATGGGAAGAACCTGTATCGAACGTAAGTACATTTCTTTAAAGTTTTGAAACAAAAATGTCCTTAATTAAAATCCTTCATAATTTTATATATAATTCTTATTAAGCTGCGACACGTTATACTACTTCCATGGAATCGAATTATCTTTATTTTCCCCGTTTTCCCAATGGAAGAAGGAAGCTCTACTCTGAAAAGTTCTTCCAAAGAACTGCAGAATTGTGGGACAAACTCTCGTGTGAATGCTTTCCTGAATGCTTTAATCTTAATCCCTTCAAGTTAAGGGTCAATCGTTATTTATCCTCTCTACCATCATCTCTTCTAAACATTTCACACACATATCTCTCTCTTTTCTTGGTCCTACCTACTTTCTGTTTTTCTTTAAAGATCTGCCTATGAACATTCCCTAGACATGGGTATGACGATAAATTACATCTGGCAGCAAGGCCTTTGGTCGGGGGGGTTGGAGGTTTTGAAGGGCGTGGAAGCATCTCTTAATTACTTTTTTTCCCAGGTTCACCCTCACCCGGAATGGTAACACATGTTAGGGGGTCTCATCTATGGGCAAATAGTGAATCCTTAAACAAAAAAAGAACACTGCGAAAGAATAAAAATGCTTTTTTTATATAAAAATTACCGACAATAGTAAAATTACCAACAATACGCACTAACAACTTGTAGTGACTTCAACCAAATCCGTTTAAAATTCTATCAAACAACCAAAATGAAAGAACTATTTCATGACATTAATCAATATAATATCCTAAATTTTTTTAAAGAAATTATACTGTATTTCCAAAATATAACTTCAACAAAACTATAACATAAAAATCATATATCACCGTCTCTAGTAATTATGCCCACTTAAACATGTACATGCACAAAAGCTGAGTATCATCTACCATGTATTCAATTGTGAAATCAAAATAACGTATCATATTATTGTTACTTCCAATCTCCCAATAAAATTAAATTTCGACATTAAATGACCCACAAGGAGTCGATATGCCATTAAATATACTAATCAATAAACCAGGAACATTCCCAGATACTATTGTTTATCGAAGCATTTTCCAAGATCAAGATGAATGGTACCGAGCAGCTGATATCTCTTCAGATCTAACAACTTAATGGGAAAAAAGGGTTTGTAACACTCAATGACTCCAAAACCAAGCTAGCAATGTTACATCCTCACCGAGCTGACCCTGATCTATTTCCAGTCATAATAAACGGTTTTATTCGCAATGAGGCCCCTTTTTTTGAACGTCTCTTCGGAATTAAGTTCCTTCTAGACTTCAAGTGAAATCCATATATAGGATATACTGTTAAAGAAACTTGTACAACTTCGAAAAGTACCTGACTCCTTTTTTCCATGCTGTATCTTTATAAGAGCCAGATCTGACCTAAAATGGAGGACTGGGACCATATCTGGGCTGAAGCTGCCCAATCCTAACATCCGACAGCAAGGAATCTGATCGGAAGGTTGGAGATTTTGAAGAACGTGTAACCACAACTTAATTGCTGTTGTACCAAGGTTCGTCATGACATAGTCCCAGCTATGGACAAATAGTGAAACTCCAAACAAAAACAAAATGCTACGAAAGCTTAAGAATACATTTTTATATTAAATTTACCAGCAATACATGTTATATTGTAAAATGACCAAGAATAGCTATATATAGTAAAATGACAAACAATACAATTTTAAAGCAAACTGATATTACTTCTGTCTGCATTATCCGGCGTAAAATCATTTTTTTTTTGTGAATCTGTATAGATTTTATTTATTGCGATTATCATTCGGAGATCCTTTTCTTGAAATGTTCAATGTCTGTAGATCTTTGGAAATGTAAGGATGTATGGCCGTTGATATACGTCAGAATTTTAAAATCTTTTTCAAGTGGATGAAAGAGTGTTGGCTTGGAGGATGGTCCTTTTGCCAACTGACGATGTGGAAGCGCCTAATGTCGGCGCAGTGTTTCAACTTGCTATACCCTTTCTTGTGACAGATCATAATACGTGGGAAGTTGCGGAGTAAATTTAAGAAATATTTCCTTTTTTTTTTCGTCTGGAAGATACTGTAGGATTCATTTTGGCGTATGAGTCATTCTTTTCAAAACTCATATTATTTGTCGGTTCCCAACGATAAAAATATTTATTTACAGTTGCTGTGGTGTCTGCAAATATTATACTGTCGAAATTTTTATCTTCCTCGGGATAATGATTAAGAGACTCGGAATCCATGTTGTTTGCTGTTGGTCTGGTGAATACTACCGAGGGATACTCGTCTTGGAAAGAGCGATATTTATTCTTGTAATTTATAAGAAATTTGGTACAAGGCCAAAAGGGGCATGGAGATGGGTGGTCTTCATCTGTTTTATATTTAAACTTAACTAGCTCCAATCACTGACCCAATCATTCTATACCACCCCTTACACCAAAACATCATATTGTTAATACAGTCACCATAATACCACTGATTTAGGAGTCGTAGCTTACATATAGCACAAGACCTAATGTATGGACCACACAGTGAGGATCTAACTCACTACTCAATTGTAATTGATCTAACGCGAAAAACATGCTAATCATTACTCTTTGTCGAAGTTCCTAAAAGGCATTCTAAATTACTAAGCGTACTTTAGATGTGGTATAAGGCCAAACGTACGGATAATCCAGTGAGGATCTAAACTCACTACTCAGTCATAATTGGTCAAGAGAGACAAGCTTGATAACCATTGCACCAAACTAGAGTGTCCCTCGTCTGGAAGAAAAACATTCTATTGGGTGATATTCGGTAAAAATATATAGTTTTGTTTTAAAAATCTTGGTAGGACGACTATTTCCAAAGAAACTGTTGGGGAGGGGGTGTTAACACTGGTTCTGTAACTTTCCATATCTGCCTTTGTACCCCTCAGTCTACGCTAGGTGGAACATAGAATCTCTCATATATACAGTAGGGTAGGTTGATTTTTAACTTTATTTTACAAAATCAACATTGAACTCAGTGCAAAAGCTAGGGTTTGATATTAAAAGTACTGACACAAAAAATTAGATTTATAGCTTTTACCAATTTTTGAGCATTTAGATAGTCTGAAAAAAAATGAAGCGGAATACCCAATTTCTGCAGGTTTTTGCTTAAAACTGACTTCAAAATTTTACTATTTCAAGAATAAATCCAAATAAATAATATTTTTTGTATTAGATACATTGAATGGAAAATATATTCAAATCAAAATTCTAATTAGAAATCACCACAAGTAAAATATGCAATGTTTTCATTGTATTCTTGAAATAAAAACTGCGTAAAAAATTGTAAAAGATTACAAAAAAGTCTACTCAATGAATAATATATTTCAGATCATTTGTTAGATCATAATTAATAAAAACAAAAAAAATCGAAGTGTATATAACATCGTAACATTACTAGACACACATTATGAAACAAAATGTTTTACATTTACATTGTTTATTGAAAATCAAGCTAAAACTACCGCACTGTATAACACATTACGTCATAACATAGCTAAATTGTTCAGTATAATTTCCCTTTGAAGTAAATAAAAGTCTTATTTAATGGCACAACGATTTAGTAATAATGTGCTTGTACCTTGCATCTTGTCAATATACAATTTGTAAAGCTTCAATAAATTATAAATGTTATAAGGCTATAAGGTTTTCGCTGATCACCGGAATGAAATTGCAACGCTACGATTTTGAACGACAACGTAATCTTTAATCTTGTCTCCTCAAAAAAAAAAAAAAAACAGACAAACAAACAAACAAAAAAAAAACAGAACGATTTGGAAAAAAATGTAGCATGCCAACTTACAACTTTCAAATTTTCCGCAATACCACGGTTCCAAAATCTACCTGTCCTAATATACTGGTGAGCAGACGGGGGTGGTAAAAAATCTGGAAAATAGTAAGTGGAATATACATTATTTAATGCTCAACTGATGTAGCGGAGGGCCAAGGAACGACAAGCGATACCCCGAACAAATCTGTAAATGAAGAGAAGACTTTTATAAGCTAATCAGATCATTTAAGTCAATGATGACCAAGGTTCTCCACAACTTCATTTTCCTTCAACATCCAGGCAGTGCCGTGATTGATCTTGGGAAGTATAATGGAGTCGTTTTCCTGTTGCCTTCTCTGCGGCTTTCTGTTCAAAGTTCCCCTTCCCCTCGATCGGTTGCCAAGTCTAGAAAGCCTTATCTGTTTTACTAATTAACACATAGCTAGGGGAGAAAAGGTTGTGCCTAGAACGTTTATCGGCGCCGAACTTGGAATCAGTGAGCCAAGTTCGAATTTCAGACTCGTTTGTTACATTGACTTTGGAAAGGCATAAATCCACACCTTCCCCTCTCCTTTACTTATGGATGAAATAGTAAAGGAGACTAGACTCTTTAGTTGTAATAATATACATCTTATTAATTAGCGGGGAAAAGAATTTGTATATTCTGGCTTAGGTATATTCACGTCTAACCTATTTTATACAGTCATAAATTTGACTAATCTTAGTTACACCCCGGGTATAAAAATTCCTAGCCTAGAATAACTCCGGGACTGTTATGCCTATATCCCTCTTTTTGATTCTAAACCATATCACCTCATAATAGCTATTGTTCCCTGATCTACGTGGTGGTAGTACCTGTTAGGGATCCAGCTATGGGCAAATAGGGCACTCCCAAACAGGGGTCAAAATACTATGAATGTATAAAAATATATTTTATTGTAAAAATTTTCATTTATTCTAATAGTAAATAAAAAAAAATTACCAACGCTCCAAGAAAATTAAATTCCGGCATTAAATAACACATAAGACTTGATATGCTTTTAAACAAAGTGAACCAAACCCTACCTACGTCTACCTTTTTGAATCAAGTGTAAACTGGATCAATGTCTACCGTTTTGACTCAAAAACTTATCTATGTCTACCTATATGTCTAGTGTAAACCTAACCGATTTTGCCTTTTTGAATCTAAACTGGGCCCATGTATTATGCATAGTTAAGAGTGCTCTCTCTTTGTTTTGTTACTCTCCTTTCTGAGAGAGCTATTTCTGTTTAATGGGACTATAAAAGGACACTACACGAGAACCTTGTATTATCAGTTGAATAAAGCTTTCTTAAAGCCTACCCCTGCATACTTTTGTCATTATACCATGTTTACATTTTTTACTCTAAAACTGAACATTTACATTTCTAACACTTAAATTTACATTTCTAACTCTAAAACCTACCTATGTCTACCTTCTTTTTAGTTTAGTGAAAACAGGATCCATGTCTGTCTTTTTGATTCTAAACTTGATCTCTGTCAACCATTTTGTGTCCCGTGTAAACCGTACCCACGTCTAAATCCTTAAATCTAAACCTGACCTATAAGTAAAGTTTGAGTTTCGTGTAAACCGAACCCATGTCAACCTTTTTTTTAATTCTAAATCTGACCTAAGTCTGTCTTTATGACTTGTGTAATCGATGTATATGTCTACATTTTTCTTACTCTAAATGTGACCTATGTCTTCCTTTATGAGTTTCATGTAAACCGGACCCATGTCAACCTTTTTTGAATCTAGCGTAAAATACGTCTATGGCTATCTTTTTGACTCTCTGCTAAAACCAGGCCTATTTGTACATTTTTTCTAGTATAAACATATTTACCTATATATTGATTTACAGCGAGTTTCTCCTATAGCCCTTGCATTTGTCATTAAATAGCCCAACAAGGCTTAATATATCGTTAACCCTTTGAGCTCTGACCACCGCTTTAACGGTTGATAGAGGAAAAAGACGTAATGCCCAGCCAGCGGTTGAACGGTGAGTAAACACGTGTAACTATTTTTATATATACCGTAAAACATCACATACCAAATTTTGACTCAGGAGCACAGGTAGAACGGTTAAAATGGTTTAGGAACGCAGGGTTCAAATGGTTATAGTAACCAATTGAAATAAACAGTCTCTATTTGCGAGAATTACAAAAATTCGCTGTGTTCATAGATTTTAAAATCCTCTTGATGTGTCATGAATATTCTTGTCTTTGTAGCAAACCCATGCGGACTTGAGCCCTGCAAAAATGGGGCGAAATGCTTCAATGATGGAAAGAAATACAAATGCGTGTGTACAGCCGGCTTCATGGGACCAACCTGTGTTGAACGTATGTAGATGAATATTTTTTCCAACTGTGAGATCGGATATAATTTCTTGATTGCAACAAATTCAGATTTCTAGTGTAGACTTATTCATCTGTGAAAAGTATTTCACGCTACTCTTAACCGTTACACTTAATCTTAATAGGATTTAGATAGAGATTAGTGTTAAACAGTATTAGGTCGTTATTCCTGGACGTATTAACTGGTGGTTGTTATGTTTACGTCCAGTTTTAGTTTTCCACTTAGGTTTTCTGGATTCTATAGGCATTGTAGAATTTTGTCTAGGCAGATGTCCGTTTTTTTTTTTTTTTTTTTTTTTTTTTTTTTTTGTGGGGGAGGCTTGGTATTAGGCGCGTTGGCTTTTTGTGCATTCTCTTCGTCTCTTACTTGATTTATTATATATGATTTTCCACTTCTAACTCTCTAGATCCGTAGCCTCGACTGAGGTATGTGGCGTGAGAAGCTCTCAAGAACAATAGTCGTTACTGCTGTAGTTTCTGTAGAAAGTAAATCTTTACAGGACAAAATTGCTACCATATGACCAACCTGTACCCAGTTAATTTATAGTATTAATATATATATATATATATATATATATATATATATATATATATATATATAAAGTGTGTCCATAAAGTTTGTGTGCACTTTAAAAAAATTATAACTTTATTTGTATTTGCTATAGAAATAATCTGTAAAAAATGTTATAAAGTTTAATGTACCTAGTTTTAAGTATAGCTAAAATAACTAATGTGATTTCAGGAATTACTGTAAATCAGTTGGCAAATGTTTTCCGTGAACTGCAAAATCGTATAACCCTTTGTATTGGTAATGATGGAGGACATGTGGAAACTTACATAAAATTTCAATAAAACCTTAAAAAATATAGATTTACTTCTTCCTAATCGTTTTTACAAATTATTTCTATCACAAATAGAAATAAAGTTATAATTTTTTAAAGTGCACACGAACTTTATGGACATCCTGTATACATATGTAACAATAATTAAAAAGGCAGAAGATAACAACTGACATTGCATTTAAATGTTTGAAGATCATATAGGAGGAAAACCAGTCAAGTGAAGCGGGACTTCTGAATTGCTTACGTGCCCAAGGTCGTTCAGACCAAAATTTACGAGATGACCTTCTTCTAAGAAGTAAGACACGGATACACACACACAGACACATACAATATATATATATATATATATATATATATATATAATTAATTCGAGTAAAAGGCTTGTCATTTAGCTGATTGATATTAGCTTCAGTATCCCCACTTAAGAGTTTCGTGGATGGGCCATCCAAGAATCACTCCATCCACTAACAGCAATTGACTGTTTATAGTCCTCTATTATATGGGAGACTTTTTTCTAATAATTTCCCATTTAACTCTGATAGGTATATTATTTTCTTTTTGACTTCATATATATTTTGATAATGTTGTGCTATTTGCGTATTTATCTATTTTAAATAGCATCATATGATTATTACATCTTTCTTTACATGTGGTTTCGGTTACTCCTATGTAAATGTTTTTCCTATATAAATTTATTATATTATTTGTTACTGTTACTTTATATATTATATTATGAGTTAAACATTTATTATTAAGTGGGCAGTTATTTTTATTTTGACAATTACAATTATTATTGCTATTTTGCGGATGCGTGTTAATATAATTGCTATTGTTTTTATTTAATATTTTTATTATGTCTATTTATTATTTTCTCCATATCATTTTAAATTATTATTAAAAAGTACCCCAATGTAATATTACCAATAGGAATTTGAACCCATTACCATTTGTTTATCGGTAAAAAAACTCCTAATCCTTGAAAAGAATTACACAACCTAACTCATAATTTGAATAAGGTTGATGATTTGATCTGTTATACGAGCCGTTTTGAAGTCTATCAAAACATTAACGTTTATTGGTAAGTTGTTCTGTCTCAGTGTTACATAACCTAATATATAAATAGACTGTGGCTGTACATATGTCTAATGACTATACTGGTCATTTTCTGGTCTTTACTACTGATCTGTCTTGTTGCATAAATAGTTCTGAAATAGTGAAATTTATCTCTATGTTCAGCGATTGCATATCAGTGACTGGTCAGGTTTTAGAATCTAAAAGTTTAAGGAGACATGTAAAATATATATGACAATAAACTTATATTTAAAAAAGAATTGTTCATTTTAAAAATACTAAATAAAGTTTTCGTCTTTTATTTATACACTAGCGAACCCATGTGGACTGGAACCCTGCAAGAATGGTGCCAACTGTTTTAATGATGGAATACAATTCAGATGTGTGTGTACAGCGGGCTTCATGGGATTAACTTGTATTGAACGTGAGTAGTTTCATTACTGTTTTAGTACACACACGGTCTCTCTCTCTCTCTATCTCTCTCACACACACGCATATATTCATATGAATAAAAAGAGAAACTATTCTTAGTCGACGCCTTTCGTCCTACATTAAGATAATGTAGAATTTATTTTATTGCACGTGTTTATATATACAAAGGCGAGGATGTCATTGGTTTATGAAGGCTTCTAAATGTGAGGACGTTCATGAATATTTATTAGGTGGTTGAAAGGTCAGTAAAAACATGTAGAGGAAACAAAGTGTCACAATTCAAAGTCTGGCAAAAAATAGTGAGCGAGTAATATTCAAGGATTTTTTAAAATGAATATTGTTTAGATTATGATTAAATTGTTATGCTATGGATATGGTATATATATATATATATATATATATATATATATATATATATATAGTTTTTCATATATAATCTACACGGGTAAAAACATAAGAAAAAGTTGAAAATGCATCTGGAGTCTTTAAGAATATTTTTTACAGTATCTTTACTGGTTTCACAGTTCTATGATTTTCAAAAATTAAATTGAGATGGAGAAATATGTGGATATACTGTGATATATCTCGAATATATATATATATATATATATATATATATATATATATATATAAAGAACAGCAAGGTATATAATCCTTTGTTCTTATAGATATTTTTATTTTTACAAAATAGTGCTCAATGTAAATTTCCAGAGCATTAATATTATAAATTAATTGATTTAAAATCTGTTTTTTTTGTTACACAGTTCTAACCATGTTTCATTTTTGAAACATGGTTAGAACCGTGTAGCGAAAAAACCATATTTTTAAAGCAATTAATTTTTTAATATATATATATATATATATATATATATATATAGAGAGAGAGATAGATAGATAGATAGATAGATATAAAACACTATATAATATGAAATTATCGCACAAATATAGATATAAAGAGTGTGGACATAGATATCAACACTGCATAACGATGGTCAGTTGTACGTGATATAGATTGAAGGTCAATCCTAGATATTGAGGATTATTTCCATATAAACATAGTGCCTTTTAGAAATATATATATTCTTTGTCTGTTTTTTAATACTTTGCTTTTCTTTAAATAGTTAAGACAAAACACTACACACACGGCATCAAGATTGCGTTGAAACAAGAAATAGAACGGCGTATATATATATATATATATATATATATATATATATATATATATATATATATTAATAGGTCTCTCATGCTATTCATGCTATAAATCACTCTAATCTCTAGAGAGCCCTTTTATATAGCCAAAATCCACAATGCTGTATTAATTATAAACTTGGTTGTCTTCGATGCCGAATAAAAGTATCTAATGAACTAAATCTTAACTGTATGCGTGCACCAAGCTTAACCTCATAATGCTGTGCGAATAAATGTTAATGTTTGGGATTTATAAGAAATCAAATCCAATATAGAGTCTGTCTATATTTCTGAGATGAGGTATTATGTACATTATTTACATTATTCGGACTATTGTCCTCATCTTTGTCGCCTTATTTATCACAACGTTTCGGCCGTTGTACGCTCCGGCCTTCTTCAGGTGGTTGGAATTTCGAACTGAACCCTTTATTTCGCTCTCTGGGGTAGACTGTTCTAGTTCCACGTGCCATATTTGATGGATGTCAGTTATCAGTTATCTCCTGCTAATTTCCCTATGAAAGTTCTCCACTGCCTTAACTGGGTATTGAACTCACACTCTTTGGCTCCTGTCACTGGATCTAACCATCGCCTTTATCCACTGTGCCATGTGTCCTTCAGTTCGAAATTCCAACCACCTGAAGAAGGCCGGAGCGTACAACGGCCGAAACGTTGTGATAACTATGGCGACAAAGATGAGGACAATAGTCCGAATAATGTAAATAATGCAAATAGTATATATATATATATATATATATATATATATATATATATATATATATGTGTGTGTGTGTGTGTGTGTAATGGATCTAATTTATGTAAAATCCTCTATTTCTTTTATTGTTTTTTATTTTAATTTTTTCAATTATTTTCTCTAGCCAACCCTTGTGGATTGAAACCATGTCACAATGGAGCTGAGTGTTTTAATAGAGAAAAAGAATTTTTCTGCAAATGTAAACCTGGATTTAAAGGAAAAACCTGCAAGGAAGGTGAGTCATAATGGATATTTAAACATGTTTTAATCCATACAAAGGGTGATTACGTAGTAAGATTCCCCACTGCTTCGCGTCACTAATAGTGCGATATAGAAATATATCTAAAAATGTATGTCTTAGTACAGAGCCAGTGCGAACAATCTGACCAGGGGTGGGTGAGTGACGCCTGATTGTGATACCCGGGCAATGCTTTGTAACGTTCGCTATCTTATCACATTTGCGTTTCCTGCCTACAAGGAATGAAAAATAATGTCTTCAAAAATAAAATAAAAAAATTAAATATCACAGGGAATATAAGCTTCTTTCTTTTAATAATTAAGTTTATTAAAATAAAAAAGGAGCAGACTTAATTATTTTTGTGTTTTAAATCAGTTCAATAAACTTGAAACAAAAGCAAGCAAAAGCAAGCAAAAGCACGTGGGATGCTAACGATATTTCCGGTGCAGACTGAAAAAAA